CCCAGAGCTGCAGTTACAGGTGCTGTGACCACCACGTGCCCCTCCCCCCCAGAGCTGCAGTTACAGGTGCTGTGACCACCATGTAACCCCCGCCCCCAGAGCTGCAGTTACAGGTGCTGTGACCACCATGTGCCCCCCCCCCCCCAGAGCTGCAGTTACAGGTGCTGCGACCACCATGTGCTCCTCCCCCCCCAGAGCTGCAGTTACAGGTGCTGTGACCACCATGTGCCCCTCCCCCCCCAGAACTGCAGTTACAGGTGCTGTGACCACCATATGGGTGCTCAGGATCAGCCAGTGCACGCTTCCTGCTAAGCATCCCCTGCCCCACTCCAAACATGCACACGCGCTCACACACAGAGAGTTTGATATTTATCAGCAGCTGCCAGCTCTGACACGTTCCCTGTAGGCTTAAGTCCTGTCCAGAGTCAACCCCTTTATCGGGAAGAAGACATTATTTATTTATTGTGTGTGTTTGTGTGCTGTGCATGTGCACAGTGAACATGCAGAAGTCAGAGGGCAACTTGCAAGCCTAGGTTTTCTCTACCCTGTGGGTCCCAAGGATCATACTCGGGTTGTCAGGCTTCGTAGCAAGCACCTTTGCCCTCTGACCAGCTCATTGACCCAGTCCACTTTTTTATTTTATTATTTTTATTGAGCTCTACATTTTTCCTCTGTTCCCCTCCCTGCCTCCCCCTCTTCAACCCTCTCCCAAGGTCCCCATGCTCCCAATTTACTCAGGAGATCTTGTCTTTTTCTACTTCCCTTTTTTTTATTTTTTAGTTTATTTATTTATTAAAGATTTCTGTCTCTTCCCCGCCACCGCCTCCCATTTCCCTCCTCCTCCCCCAATTAAGTTCCCCCCCCCTCCACAGCCCGAAGAGCAATCAGGGTTCCCTGCCCTGTGGGAAGTCCAAGGAACCCCTACCTCCATCCAGGTCTAGTAAGTTGAGCATCCAAACTGCCTAGGCTCCCACAAAGCCAGTAGATTAGATCCATGTATGTCTCTCTTGGTATCCTCATTGCTGTCTAGGTTCTCTGGGATTGTGGTTTGTAGGCTGGTTTTCTTTGCTTTTTGTTTTAAAACCATTTATGAGTGAGTACATGTGATAATTGTCTTTCTAGGTCTGGGTTACCTCACTCAGAATGATGTTTTCTAGTTTCATCCATTTGCCTGCAAAATTCAAGATGTCGCTATCCATTTCACTGTTTTATAAAACAATTTCTAGTCTGGCCTGTCCTGTCCATTTTATTCTAATTGATACTTTTTAGTCCTATTATAATTCTTACTTTGTACTAATGATTCCTGTCTGCTTAGTTCATATAAATAATTTTATAATATTTTAATGTATTTTTCTTTAGCTTTTTGTGCATGTGTAGTGTGCATGCATTTGTGTATGTATGTTCACATGTGTATGGATACATATGTGTTCATATATGAGCATGCACATGTGTATGGAGCCCTAAAGTTGACATGTCTTCCTTAATGTTTCTCCACTGTGTTTATCAAGGCAAGGTCTATTGCTGAACCCAGAGTTCCCCAGTTCCAACTGGTCTGGCTAGCCGGCTGGTCCAAGATCCTCTGTCTCTGCCTCCCAGATGCTGGGATTACAGGTGGGCCGCCCTATGTTCCCAGTGTCCACCCCCTTTCCGGTGGCTGCCCCACCTTCTTGGGTGTTTCCATGGGTCCCCTGGATTCACACTCAGGACTTAACACTTGGTGCCATCTGCGCGACCTTTTTCCTTTCATAGACATCTTTATTTGATGTGTTCGGGACCTGCACCATTTGGGGCATCAGTTTGTACTGACGTGATTTCCCTCGATTATGGAGCACACAGCGTGCTTTCTGTGTGTCTACTAAGTACTGTTAACGTGCTGGACATGTAAATGGCATGTGATGGAGACCCCGAATTCTACTATTTTGTGCTGATGCTCTAGGTTAGTGGCTGGCTGTTCACATTGGGCTTGTGTGGGCATGGCCATCTCAGCCACCTACCTTCATTGTGGTGGTACTGCAACCCCAGCTCCCCACAGACCTTGCTAGTCCTGGCTTCTCACCGTGGTAGATATCTGGAGAAGGCCATACTCTGAGGTCGGATCGTTATTCCTGATGTGAGAGCTGGTGGCTCAGCCTGTCATCTGCTGTGAACACACAGAGCCTAGACCTCAAACAAGGTCTTCCAGGGAACCCACATCTAGTCCCCAGCCCCCCATCACATCTCCCTCCATTCCACCCCCTTATCCTCACAGATCTCAGCCTTCTAGCTGCCCCAGATTTTTATCTGTCCCCTCAACTTAATGTGAGTATTATATTCTGGCTAGATTTTTGTCCCCAGGCAGAGAATGCCAGGGCTCCACCCTGCCTGCTGTCCAGGGCCTGTCAACAATTACCTTGTATGTTTTGTTCACCTTTGTGGTTGTTTACAGCAAGATGACTAGTTGGTTAGGCACCGAATGCTTTGTTTTAACCACTTTATGAAAGATGAGCCTCTTTGCTGAACGCAGCCACACTCTTGAGTGTGTACTGTACCTTGATCAGTATTAGGTACCAAGTTTTACCTTACCTATTGCTTTGGGTTGGAAACCCAAACAATCCCCTGCTTCCCTCACTTGTGCTCCGGCTTGTCTGCTGTTTGACCCTCTCAAGTCCCTTTCTACATGCTCAGGTTTAGATATCTTTAAAACCAGAGAATGTTTATTTTTTATTGCTTTGGTATTTTGGTATTATCATATACAGATATGCAAAGCAAATACCAGAAAACCAGGACATCCCTTCTCAGCTGTGAGAGGAGAAGGAAATATGCTGAGCTGCCATCACTTATGGCGGGAGGTCAGATCACCTCAGATGTGAGGTCAACGAATGAACAGATCCTTAACAGCACCCCATCTTTCTCATTACCCGCCCATGCTTCTGCTAGTTACATAACTGGTTCTCCTAGCCATAATCCCCGTGTCTTGTGCCTAATCCTGTAGGTAAGTAGACTCAGTGCTGTCTGCCAGACCGTTCACTAGAGTTCTCTAGCCGCCATCTGCAAGGCGGGAGTTAATCTTCTTGTTCTTCCAGAAGGACTTACGGGAGCAATATTCTTTCAGCTCTTACATGTTCAAAAATGTTTGTCTACTGTTTTCACAGTTGAGTGACAGTTTGGCTGGATATAAAACTCTTGGACCACACTCCCTTCTGCCTGCATGAGCACTGCCCCACTCTGCTGGCACACATGCTGGTGATGGCTTCTGCTGTGCCCTCATCTTCCATGTGATTATTTGCCTGGCTATTAGAAGGTCTCTCTTCACTCCTAGCCCTAAGAATTTTAGAGTATGTCTTGTTCTTGAATGCTCTTGCAGCCTTTCTTTGGGCTTATATCCTAAAGCTTCTCTTTCAGCCAACTGAAGTTACTTTTCTCTTGCCCTCCATGTTTCCTCTGGTCCCTTGCAACTGTTTTGTTTCACCTGGTTTATTTTCTAATCTTCCTGCCCTCCTGGACCCCATCCGACCTCATTCAGTGTCTCCACTGGTGCTCGTTCCCTTCATCGTTCTTTTCTTCCTCCATCCTTCCCTTCCTTCCTCCCTCCCTTCCTCCCTCCCTCCTTCTCTCCCTCCCTCACAATGACCGCCTGTCCCTCTTGCAGAGTGCTAGGATTAAACTCACAGGTCACTATGCCCAGCCTCCTTGCCAACTCTGTGGGGATGAGCATTGTCTGCAAAGGGTGATGTGGTCCTGCTGGAAGGCACTGAAGACCAAGGGACTAACAGAAAGCTTGTGGCTCAGGCAGGCCACTTGTAGGAACAGGACTGTCAAGTGGCCTTCAGTGTGCAGGACAGGCCTCTGTAACCAAGAGGCTACCTTCATTACTATGACAAAGACCTTGAGGCAGGCTAACTTTATAAAAAGGACTTTTAATTTAGCTTGAAGATGTAGGGGTTTAAAGTTAGGGTGGCTGAATTGGTCTTATGTTTGGCAAGGGCACAGTGGTAAATGGTACTGCAGAGGAATCGACCACATTGATGGACAGAAAGCCAGAGAAATGGGGGCTCCACAGCCAGTGAGGAGCACATCTGGATTCCTTCCTCCTCCTCTAGTGCCGTTTCCCCTCACCCTCTACCTTTCTCCATTTTCTATTACTGCAAAACGCCTAAGCCTGCTAAGCTTGCGCGGTGTCTGAAGGATAAAAGCTTGGGGCCAGAGAGATGGTTCACATGGCAGCTCTCAGCTCCAGACCCTGAGGATCTGATGCCTTCTTCTGGCCTCTGTGGGCCCTACACACACACAGTGCACAGATATATGTGCAGGCAAAACACTCAAATACATAAAATAAAAATAAATTTTTTGTTTAAAAACAGTTGATTTGGCTAGTGGTACTGAAGACCAGGAGGCTCGGAAGCTTGCATCTGCTGAGTGCCAGTCACAACATGGGGACCATCCCTAGACAAGACAGAACAGGCTGCCAGCTCAGGTCTTCGCTGAGAAAGCCACTAATAGGCCTCATCACCTGCCAAATACCCCACCTTAGATAGCATTAATAGGTGAATTTGAGAATTCTGTTTCTGACTGAATTCTTGAGGGACACATTCAAGTCATAGCACACTGTACACTCTGCCAACCCCTTCTCTGGGTGGTCTGGGACCCACTACCATGTTTCTGGGTCTCCCTTGAGTCTTGGTGTTATTGTTGATGGCATTTGCATTCCCCACGCCGTAAGTTTCAGTGGAGTTCCTCCAGGAGAAACATTGACTGTGTATCTCCTCCACACTGAGAACCCAGGACCTGGCCTCCCAGCTTCTTCCAGGCTGGGAGGAGCTCAGTCAGCATAACCTCGTGGCCTTGTGTGTGCTTAGGGAAGTCCCTGCTATAACCATGGGGTTGAGGAGGAGGCCAGATGGACAAGAATGTGTAGCTGTCACAGAGCCTATGGCAGAGTAGGGCCAGGGAAGGGATATTTGTGACCAAGGACTACAGCAGACCTAAGAGCAATCTTGTTCTTCTTACTGTCCTGTTTATAGGTGTGCAAGACTCAGGAACTCACCAATCCTGGGATTGCCGAAGTCACCATCCGGCCAGACCACAAGCTCTTAGCCACAGCAGGCTGGGACCATCGCATCCGAGTCTTTCACTGGAGGACAATGAAGCCACTGGCCGTTCTGGCCTTCCACAGTGCCTCTGTGTACTGTGTGGCCTTTGCCACTGATGGATTGCTTGCTGCAGGGTCCAAGGACCAGCGCATCAGCATCTGGTCACTCTACCCCTGCCCATGACTCAGCTGTGGGACGCTGCTGTCTTACTCCAGTCTTGACCCGGCCCTGTGGAAAGTCCTCAGGGACCTCTGGACAGCAAGTTGTGGCCAGAGGTCTATGGGATCCACTTTCTTCATAAGGTTCTCTGTTGCTTTTGTGACTTACCATTCAGAGGACAGTACCTGATGACAGACACCTGGCACCTGTAGCTGGGGCCTGGTAGTATGGTCAGCCTGAACATATTTGACAATAAATTTCCCGTTGCCAACATGGAGGCTCAAGGAGGGAACTTTCCATAGAGATATCCCTGTGTTCTCCTCTTAGGATCAGAGCAGTCGGAACCCCAAGCAGGCCCATTAGCAACCTGATGACAGACACCTGGCACCTGTAGCTGGGGCCTGGTAGTATGGTCAGCCTGAACATATTTGACAATAAATTTCCCGTTGCCAACATGGAGGCTCAAGGAGGGAACTTTCCATAGAGATATCCCTGTGTTCTCCTCTTAGGATCAGAGCAGTCGGAACCCCAAGCAGGCCCATTAGCAGTCTTACTTTTAAGCCGGCAGTCTGGGTGCAGGTATGCAGGGCTTGGCCCTGGGAGGCTGTTGGTCCCGCAGTGGCTGTCTGCCACATCCCCCTGACTCAGTGTCGCAGAAATGTCTAGGAAGCCCTGACATACAGGACTGAGGCCGGGATGAGGAAACTGGGCTCCATAGAGAGGAGGGGAGGCAGGAGCGGGTTCACGGGGGGTGACCAGTGGTCATGGAAGGAGGCACGGTGGGTTGCAGTACAAGGCCAGAAGACCCAGAAAGGAGGCCTAGCCTCTGGCGGGAGAAGATAAAGGGGACAGGCCTCAAGCCCAGGGCATAGCATAGCCCTGTGGGACATGGAGGAACAACGCCTTACTTCAGAGTGATGTCCAAAGACACTTTGAGTATGTGACTGACTGGCGGGCAGCCTCTGAGGTAGTGTTAACTGGGGGGACCAGACTGCAAGGGTGAGGATGCAGCTAAGGAGTGGGGACCTCGGACCTTTCGTCTTCCATCAATGGCAGAAGAATCCTGTACCCCGAAGAGCTGGAATGCCCTGGTGCTGCCCTGTCAGGCTCTCCTGACATTAGAGTCTCTGCCTCTGGTCTGTAACAAAACACGGCGCGTGGCTTCCAAAGCTGAATGTGTCTGTGCCGAAAGGATTGCACTGCCATGGTACAGCCTGATGTCCCCAAGCTGGGGGACATGTGGGAGGACAGGAGTGTGTGGTCCCCATGAGATACATGCCGCAAGAACTGTGGCGTTGTGTCACAGCTCCAGAGCCACAAAAAGCCCAGTTGGATCGGTGGCAGGTTGGTTAAGCGTGGTCGAAAAGATGTGTGTACATGGAAAGCTAAGAAGCCCAATTGGAGAGGAGACGGTTGGGAGGTGGGAATGTGGCTGTCTATAGGTGGGTTGGGAGGATGCATGCGCCTTTTGCCCCATACTGAGGGAGGCAGTGTGAGATGTTACACAGCAGCTGCAGCCCCAACCCCAACTGCAGTGGGTATCTAAGCTGCCAGGTGTATAAAAGGTGGCACTTGCTCACCAAGGACAGGTGGGAATACTTCCTGTAATAGGCTATGAATTGGGAGCCACTTCAGCAGAATCTGACCTGCAGTGCTCTACAACAGGGCTGGACATCCTGGAGTCCCTAGAGACAGGGCAGGCCAACTGATCCACATAGGCAGAAGCGTGTAGACCTGGTGAGCAGTCTGACCCAGTCCCCAAAGCAGCCCTTGGTCACAGGCACAGAAGAAAGACACACTGCTCATCCCTCTCCAGACTTCCCCAGGAGACCTGACACCCTGTCCCAAGGCTCCTGTTTGTGTTACCCTGATTAAGTTCTGACACCAAGTCCCTAAATATTAGGCTCTGTAGCTTCAAGCCTCTGAAATCAGGACAAGGCCCCAAGTTTCTCAAAGTAAAAGGTGGGTTGCCTCAGCCTCCCTCTACCCTCCTCCAGAATTTCTGAAGGAGGGGAGAAAAAAAGAAAGGACAAATGAGAAGGAGACAGGGAGATGTCAGCGTCTTGTGTGTTTTGGGCAGAGAGAAAAGAGCATGCCTGCTACAGTTCAGATGTGAAATGTCCCCATCAGCCTATGTGTCTAAATGCTTGGTCCCAGATGGTGACTCCAGTTGGGATGGTCATGGCCCTATAGGAGGGAGACTCTGGAAGAAATGGGTCCCTGGGGTGAGTTTATACCTCAGCCTCTGTCCTCCCTACTGCCCTCCCTGACCAGATGCAGTGTGATCTGCCACTCATAATGAACTGTGTGCCCTCGAACCATAAGCCAAATAAACCCTTCCTACCTTAAGTTGTTTCTACTCAGGTGTTTGGTCACAGTGCTGAGAAAGACAACTAATACCGCAACTCTCCATCCTCAGGTCACCCAGGGCAGGAGTGAAGACTCACACAGAGTCACAGCTATCTGTGTTGTGGGATAATCGTTTTGTACACTGTGAAGATGTGTCTCTGCCTAAGGGGCCTTCTCAATGCTTTAATAAAGAGCTGAATGGCCAATATCTAGGCAGGAGGGAATAGGCAGGACTTCCAGGGAGAGGGGAACTAGGGAAGAATCTGAGGCTTGTGGAATTAAGCCATGGGGACTTAGAGGGAGTCAGAGGTACAGTATGGAGGAGAGGTAATGAGCCACATGGCAGAATGTTGATTAATATAAATGGATTAATTTAAGCTATAAGAGTTAGTTGGGAACAAGCCTAAGATAAGGCCAAGCTTTCATAATTAATAAATAGTCTCTGTGTCATTATTTGGGAACTAAGAAAGTCCAACAGCATATCTGTTTGCAGGGGCTGTAGGGTGGTCATGGAGTCACGTCCAGGCTTCAGTGACCCCCGAAAGAAGTTGCAGTGGAGCTGGACAGAGGCAGGTGGATCTCAGCCATGCTGTGAAGTCCCAGCAGCACCGAGCATCGCTGCCTTGTGGAGGTCTCCCGTCGCCCCTCTTAGTTGCCTTTCCCCAGTACCTTTGGAGATGATCTCTGAGCCTGTGCAAGTCCTATGGATACCCTAGGAGCCTCGCACACCTGGATGTGGCAGCCGGTGCACAGCTGCCATAAGCTTCCCGAGACTCTTCTGTGTGGGGGATGGTGGTTGGATAGCTGTTTCTTCCCAATCAGAGCATTCCCTCCTGCCTCCGAGGAAGGAGGCTCACAGGACTCCAGTCTAAGACCTCTCCCCAGAGCTACAGAAAGCAGTATCAGTTACTGGGGACAGAGCACTCCAGTGGTACTGCCTGCAGGTTGGACAGGGAGCTCCAGGCGTGCAGCTTTCCTGAGAGATCCCCAGTGCTGGCGTGGGTGACCTCAGCTGCCTTTGAGCCACCTATGCTCCTGCAGGTAACCCCAGTGAAGTCATTGAGATGGATTCTTTTCCTGTCATCTGTGTCAGGTGGACAGATGTTTGTCCGTGTCTCCCCAGGAAAAGGGAATGGAACCTGTGTCTGTATATGTGATGCTCTGGGTACCCCTGTGCTCAGTACACGCTCTATGTGACCAGGGCCATGTGGATCAAACCCTGTGGTTTCTTCCCAGAGCCCAAATACCTATTCTGACAACTTGAGCTGTTTTCTTTCTTCTGTTTCCATTGAGAGTCATTTTAAATTGTATCGTCCACATTGGCTGAGCTGTGAGGCCTCCATGAAAGTTGTCCCTGTCTCCGAGTGAACAATGGCTTCCCGTCAGCTGTAGCAAAGGAGTCACACAGAGCAGACATGCTGCCCAGAAGCAGCACTTGAGGTTCTGTGTATGTTCTCAGAACAAGCTGGAGGGACCAAGGTTCCCAGAGGCAGAGGCATAGTCTCAGACCTGTAGTCCAGGCCACTCATCCCCATAGACATTTCCCAGACCAAATGGCTGGTCACCTAAGAGACACAAATGTCACCCATCTTCTCCATCACAGGAGACTACTCACAGCCAAAGAAAGCTAGTGCTGGAAACGGTTGCAGCGTTTCTTGTGCTCAGTGCTGATTCTGGGTTGATGTGTTCAGTTATAACATCCTTCCCATTTTGTTTTTCTGTGTAGCCCAGGTTGCCCTGGTACTCTATCTCCCTGTCTCTGCTCCTGAGCATGAGATTATCCATCTGCAACTATACCCAACTTCCATGATGTTCTTATTGGGCATCTCCCTGAGTCAGGAGCCCAGGCACGAGATGATTGTCCTTAGTATATCAAGGAGGGCAGTCGGGTGATGAAGGATGGTTCCTTACCTGATCCTAGCAGATCCTGTGGCTGCTGAGCAGGGCTCTGAACTCCAGAGGAGCTGCTCCAAGTCCTGCCCCACATTCTGGAAAACAGGGTAGCCTGCTTGTCTGCTTGGTTTGGATGCTGCTGTTGTCTGTGAGCTCCAACAAAGCAGCTCTGCTGCTCTATCTGGCCCGGTAGACTTACAGAGACTCAAGCCCTGGCCTTGTGGCCTGGCCACCTGAGTCGTGTTGCCTTGGACCTCTTTAGCCACCCTCTCCTGACTCAGTTACTCTGGGACAAGTGACCCTGGTAGCACCTGTCTCTCTTTTTCCCTGGATAACTTAGTGTGTTGACTGGTTGGGTTTTTGGTTTTGTTTTATTTGCCAACTTGACAGAGCTGGCATTTGGGAAGAATTCTTAAATTGAGAAAGCCTTTATAAGCCAAGTCTGCCTGGTACTTTCTTCATGAATGATTGATTCCGGTGGTGCCGGCTCTGGGCAGGTGCTCCGGAGTTGTGTAAAGAAGCAGGTTGAGCAAGGCAGTAAACAGCACTCCTCCATGGCCCCTACTTCAGCTGCTGCCTCCAGGTTCCTTTGAGTTCCTGCCCTGACTTCCCCCAGTGATAGAGTGTGACCTGAGAGGTAGAAGATAAACAAACTCTCCTCCCAAGATGCTTTTGGTCATGGTGTTTTGTCCAAGCAACAGAAACTCTTGACTAAGACAACTGGGATCACAGAGAGTCTGGAGCTGTGGCCTTTGGGAGGAAGCTAGACAGGCGGATCTAGATTCAGTGCTGAACACTGGGGGGTCAGTTACGTGAGGTCATCCAAGGAGGGGGTCCCAGCACAGCTTGCAGAGAAGCCACCTGTAGCCCAGGGCTGGCTGTGCTGACATGCGGCACATAGCTCTAAACTTTGCAGGGAGTGAGTGATGTTCACTGAGGTGTTTCCCACCTGTGTCTGCCAAGAAGCCACAGAATTCCCTCTGCATAAAAGGACTGTTTGCACAAAGAGAAAATATCCCTTCGGGGCTCGTCAGAAATGCTTGATTCTCAACTAGGTATAACTTCATGCGGAACCCCGACGTGGCAGACAGCAAGCTGGCATCAATGACATCATTAAAGCTGAACTTGCTGTATGCCTGTGTCGTACAGACAAGGTGAGGAACCACCAACCCCACCAGCTCCAGGAAAGGCGTGTTGCTGCAGGGTCTGCCAGGCCCAGCTCTGCTGTGAGGCCTCAGCCTGCAAACCCCGCCCCCACTCCCACCCCCATAGGTGTTCTTCAGTTGCCTGAGGACTCCCCGTGTCTCAGGTAGCATGGTGGATGAGTTCTCCTAACACTTTGTTGGCTTCCTGGGGTCAGCAAGCCATTCTCTGGCCTTCAGCGAGGCCCAGGAACCAGACAGGAAGGCAGTATCTGGACAGGATGGATAGGTGGGAAGGGCGGGAGTTCATCTGGTAGAGCCCGGTAGACACTATAGGAAAGATTCCCCAGCTCAGCCCAGGGAAGATATAACACCCAGTGAAGGGGGACACTGTGGACCATGAGGAGACAGGGCGTGGCTAGCAGTATCAAGCCAGGGTTGGTAGCATGTGCTCATTTCCGGTGAGTGTGGAAGCCTACACCATTGGGAAGTAAATGCAGGAGGATTGCAAGTTTGAAGCCAGTCTGGGCTATGCAGCAAGATAACCCTGTCACAAAAAATAAAATAAAAAAGCAAATGAACTTTAAAACACCATCAATCCTAGCACCTGAGAGGCAAGTAGATCTCTGTGAAGCCAACCATATCTGCATAGAGAGTTTCAGGCCAGCCAACGGTGCATAGTAAGGCCTCTCCCCACAAAATAAAATAAAAATGGGAGCTAAATGGGTGCTTCAACAGAAGGAGGCTATCTCAAAAACACACAAAAGAATAAAAGCCGGCTGCTTTCATGGTCAACCCCTGCCAGGGAGAGGAACTGGGCATTCGGGCACTCTGCAGCCAACCACCCCCACGCACGGCCCACAACCCCACCCCCACCCCCATGTGTGCCCAACACAGCTTTCCTCACCCCCACACAGTGGCCCAACACAGCTCTCCCCACACCCGTGCGTGGCCCACCGTTCCACCCACCTCCACGTGTGTTCCACAACTCCTCCCACCCCCGCGCACAGCTCACAACCTCCCCACCCCCATGTGCGGCCCAACACAGCTCTCCCTACCCCTGTGCGTGGCCCACAGTTCCACCCACCCCCGCGCATGCGCGTGCCCCACAACTGCCCCATGATGTCTGATCAGGGATGACAGAGCCCCATGAGCCACAGCCAGTATTTACAGAGAAAGCATGTCAGCCTTCACGCTAAAAGATGCCCACCTCCACTACATGCAGGTTACCGGGGCCTTACTGCTGCTACCAAGCACTCTGGGTCTCACAGTCTCTGGGTCTTCTGCACGGACCCAAGGCACCTCAGTATCAAGGTGGGCCCAGCACAGCTGGGGCAGGAGACGGACGCTAGACTTCTTTCACTCAGATGGGAAATCTGACCTATAGGAAGGCAGCAGGGCATTTACCCAGGGCATCAGGCCAGAGGTGTTTAGTTCTGTTGTTATAAGCATGGACTCTTTCAGAACTGGCTCATCTGACTTTGTCACTGTTGCTGGATAATAAGTTGATGGTTTCACCTAGAGACCGTGGTCGGGGTCCAAGAGGAGCTGGGCCACAGGGTGTTTGTGTGCCACACAGCAGTCATGCCTGAAGCACCCGCTCTCCCGCTTCAACCTTTAGCATCTTCATCAGTGTCCCTGGCCACTAGGGACTGGTGACAAGATGCCTGCACAGATGACTTCCTCTCTCGGTGGAATGATATCAGGGGAGGCACGCTTCCTTCATGGGGTCCCCAAGAGCATCTCCAACAAGCCAAAGCTCTCTATGATGTATGTGTTTCAGGGCAGCTTGGACTATAACACTTGTTATAGTCACTGTTCTATTGCTGTGAAGAGACACTCTGACCACGGCAACTCTTATAAAAGAAAGTAGTTAACTGAGCCTAGCTTACAGTTTCAGTGGTTTAGTCCATTATCATCAGGCAGGGGGCATGGTGACATGCAGGCAGGCCCTGAGGCAGTAGCTGAGAGCTAC